AACAACCAATGCAGCGCAGAATCCAAGACAGCAGCAAAGCGGTACAGGCTCCACCAATGGTGGGGGTGCTGTGCGGCAGATTTTCACCTATGACATCAGTACACCACGCAGTTCGCATGATGATCGTTCTGTGAGGTTTTTCATGGATTCATGTGGCTCAGATAGCTCACAAGTACGCATGATTTCAGATGAATCTTTTTGCAACCATGAGCAAACAGAGGTCCCAACATGTGAGAGCCGTTTTCCCATTTCATGTGGCAATGGATGTGCAGAATGGTTTTGCATTTGCTCTGGTGATGGAGAAGATGAATTCCTGATAGATACAATGCCGGAGTACGACCAGCCGTGGATACTTTCGGATTCGCAGGCCGTGGCAGGAGATGTGGAGTTTTCAAGTGCAGATTGTTCAGATGAGATTTCATTTTCATGTGGCGAGCAGTTTTCAGATGACACTTTTACTTGTGCAGACGGTTCAATTTGTGCAATTCAGCAGGGTGCAAAGTGCATGGATGAGAGCAGTATGACTTGTGTGCAGCAAGTGCGTGTGGTGATTGATACTGGTGCGGATCTGTCAGTAGCCCCATTTTCGTTTTCAGACACAGGGGATTTGCATTCGGGTGAGTTCACTTCACAGATTTGTACTGCTTCAGGAACCCCAATGGCGACCTCTCAGGTGCGGCAGATGAATATCGTGACCAACGACTTGGCAGGCAATTGCATCAACCTCAGAGACAACTTCGTGTTGTGCGATGTTAGGCAGCCGATTCTTGCAGTTGGTAAACTCTTGAAAGCTGGTTGGTCGATTTCCACCTATGAGGGGATTCCTTATTTGGTCAGTGCAGATGGTTTCAATGAGATCCCCTTGGAGTTTCATAAGCATAGTCTTGAGATGAAGGCTGAAATTCGTATGCTTTCTGTGCAGCCAGTTCATGTGAGCGACGAGTTGAAGCAGGATGAGTTTCTTGAATTGGGCAGCGCATTCGCAGAACAGTTGCAGGGAGGTTGGACAGTCTTGGATAATGGTATGGTCATGGACTACCAGGACAAGACTGACCGACTGACAGACCCGCATCCCACATGGAGTGCTCGGTTTTGGCCTTACAGGACTGCTTTAGCGTCAATGGATGGGAAGTCATGGAAACTTGTGCGGATTAATCAGCAATGGGGCAAGCTGGACAAGGGAGATGAGCTTTTCACAAAAGTGCCAAGGAAACTGGTAACTTTGGTCACAGAATTTCCTGTGGAGCGCAAACAGTTGGTGATGAGTCAAGCCGATTTGCATGCAAGTATCTCTGCAGGCGATGAGGAAATGCTCCAAGCCTCGCAGGAGATTTTTGCTGAGGAAGTGGCTCAACAACCAGATGCGGTCAATCCTGAGGAAGAGCAGCCAGCTCCTGAGTTGGAAGTGATCGCAGTTCCCGCAGGTGCTCAACCTCAGGAACTGGTAGTGGATGGACAGACAGAAGTTTGGACGCGTTTGGTTGGACATGAGTTGCATTTGCGAAGAGATGCTTTGAATGCAGCAGCAAGGGAATCTGAAGTTGAGGTGCCAGTTCACACCTTAGCTCAACCTCGAGAACCAACTGAGGCTGAGAAAGCCTTGCATGAGGCAACGCATCAGCCCTACCAAAGCTGGTGCCAGGCTTGTGTGATGAGCCGTGCTCTGGATGACAAGCATGTTTCAGAACCTGTGGATGTGCTTGAAGAAAGCAAAGCAACAGTCATTCAGGTAGACTTCTGCTACATCACCAAGGAGGACACTGATCCTGAAGTTGCAGTAGCAGAAGGCAGTTTGGGACAACCTGTTGTTGAAGGACCTGAGCAAAGCAAGTGTACCATGCTTGTGGCAGCAGACAGAGACTCGCGTGCCGTCTTGGTGGTACCAGCAGAACAAAAAGGGAAGTCAAGTGCAAAGCGACTAGTTCAAGGTCTGTTTGAGTTCTCTTTGCAAGTGGGTTTGCAAGATGTGATTTTGCAAGGGGACAATGAGCCGAGTATTCGCAGTTTGCTCAATGGCGTGAAGGTTTTGAGAACCAAGCACAATGTCAAAACTGACATCAGGTATCCTCAGGAAGGACAGCCGAAAAGCAATGGCCGGGCAGAGAGAGCGGTGAGAACCATCAAGGAAATGGGGAAGTGCTTGCGAGAAATGGTTTTTGCCAAATCTGGTTTTCGCATGCATACATGGAGTCATGTGCATGGTTGCTTTTTGCACAACAACTTTGCGGTAAACCAGCGCACCAAGATGACCCCCAGACAGATGCTTGGTTTGGGTAAATACCCAGGCGCACTAACAACATTTGGGGAAAAGGTCATTGGCCTAAAGCCCAATTGTGGGAAGAGCTTGCGACGATGGAGAGCTGGTGTTTGGATTGGCAAGGATCCCAGAACAGATGGACATTTGATTGCAGGTCTATGGGGTGTGTGCGTTGTACGAACTATCAGAAGATTGCCTCAGAAGGATTGCTGGAAGCCTGGTGACCTTGATGCAGTGCGAGGGTTGCCATGGAACTTCACCAGTGGTGCTGTTGTGGTTAGAGACAGCAATGCAAGCAGATTGGTTTATCCAGCATTGGCCGCGGTGGACGATGGAGAAGCAGGGGATGAAGCTGGCAGTGAACCTAGCGAGGATGAGGTAGCTGGAAAGCAACCCGTTTTGCCAGACAGTACCCTGTTGAGCAGTTTTGTCCCACAGCCGCAGGGAGTTTTTGCAATCTCAACATGGTGGGGGTAGTTCTTCTGAACCTAGCATGCAGTTGAAGCAGAGTGCCCCGCCGAGTTCAGCAGCAGTTTCAGGACCGGTAATATACCCTGTCCCTATGGAATCTGTGCTCATGGAGCGCAAGCGCTTGGACGAGCAAGGTAGCACAGATGGACCTAGCCCCAAAGCACCTAAGGTGAATGCTGTTCAAGTTGGCGGTGAAGAACTGCCAGATCAAGATGACATTTTGGAAGGTGAATTCTCTTTTGAAGAGAGTGATGATGAAGACTGGTATGATGAATACGAATATGATGGAGAAGGCCCTCCGCAACTGTCAGAAGAAGAAATGCGCGTGGTGGATGCAGAAGCTCGTGAAGTTGAAGTTTCCAGATTGTTCGACATGAAGGTGTTCACACCAATTGCTGAAGAGGAGGCGATGGTTATGGAACATCTTACTTGCAGATATGTGTACGACTGGAGGAAGCGACCAGATGATCATCCAAGTGCAGGCAAATGGTTTCGACGTGCGAGAATGGTGAGTCGAGAGTACAAGTATCTGGATCCGGGTCGTGCAGGCTTGTTTGCAGCAACGGTTCCACCCGCAGTTTCGAAGCTGTTGTGTGTGTGGGCATTGAAACATGGACATGAGCATTTTGTTGCAGACATTTCAGATGCATTCTTGAATGTGGATCAGGACAAGAAGCTTTCAGTGCTTTTGCCAGGAACCAAGCAGTGGGTCCTTCTGTGGAAGATGTTACCAGGTCAGAGAGCAGCAGCAGCAAATTGGGCAGATCACATTGCAGCAGATGTGAAGAGCTTTGGTTTCAAGCCGTGTCGAGTTTGCCCAACGGTCTTTGTCAAGGATGGTGTTGCTTTGGCCATTCATGTGGATGATTTGTATGTAACTGGCAAGTGTGCTGAAGTTGAGGGATTTTTGAATCAGCTGGAAATGAAGTATCGGTTGAAGAAGAGCGGTCCACATGGAATTGGGGATTCCTTCTATTTTCTCAAGCGAAGGTTTGCAGTGACTGAGTTTGGAATTTGCGTGACGCCAAATCCGAAGTACAAGGAAAAGCTCCTTAGCTTCATCCAGGATGACAAGGGGAAGAAGGCTCGTAACACACCGACCCCTTCAGGTTACCAACCTGTACCAGTCAAGATGCAGGACGCTAAGGATTTACTTCCTGAGTACCAGGCAGCGCGTTTCAAACAAATGGTTGGACTTCTTTTGTATATCACCAATGATAGACCAGATTGCCAGCATGCGTTGAAATTGTTAACTTCCAAGATGTCAGCTCCTGATTTTGCAGATTACAAAGCAGCAGTTCATTTGATATGTTATTTGCAGCAGCACTGGGACATTGGAGGTTTACTCTTCAAAGGAAAGCCGGGGCGAAGCTTGCTGGACCCAACAGCAAGATGGGAGAAAGAGACAAGTGATGGAGATGATGGTCCAGTTCAACCTGACCTCATTGAGGTATTTTCAGATGCAGACTGGGCTACAGACAAGTATTCCAGGAAATCCACATCAGGCGCAGTGATTGCAGTGAATGGCAGCTGTGTATTTTGGTTTTCGAGAGGACAGAAATCAATCAGCACATCGAGCTGTGAGTCGGAGTTTCTCGCATGTGTGAGTGCACTTCAGGAAGGTGCGTTCTTGCAGAGAGTTTGGGATCACCTGGAAGGGAACGAGTTCAATGAACATGGAGTTTCAGACATGGAACTTTTGCATAGCAAGCGCTCGAAATTGCTTGTACGCTGTGATTCAGCATCTGCGAGAGCTCTGGCCATGAAAAATGGGCTTGGTAAAGCAAAGCATGTTTCAATTGCGCTTTTGTGGATACAAGACTGGATGAGGTCAAACAGGGCGCAGATCAGACCCGTTTCGACCATGTGCAATGTTGCAGACCTTTTGACAAAAGTCTTGGCAGCAAGGAGGATAAAGATGCTTTTGTACCTCATGCACTTCATGAATCCAGACACTTTTGAGATGACAGGTGAGCAGATTTTCCTGGAGGAATTGCAGCGGCAGGATGTGAAATTGAATATGAAGGAAGCCATGCGTGTTTTGCGTATATCAGGCTTCTGCAATCAGTTGCGGAATGATCAGGTATATCGCATTTCCAAGCTGTGCGTTCTTATGTCTTTACCGAATGCTTGTGCAGCAGCAGCAGATGAGACCGTGAGTATTAATGGCAGTGGCATTTCATTTTCGACATTTGCTTGTGCAGTTTTCGTTTCCATGATTGTTTTCATTGGATTTGTGATTGCTGGATGGATGTTTGCAAAAAGGCTTGAGAGAAAGCTGAGAGCCTTATGCTATGAGCAGGCAAGAGGCAATGCAGAAGACTGTTTCAGGATGGTTGATGATTTGCATGACGAGGTGAACAACGCACTTCGACAGCTATGGTCAGCTGTGAACAGAGTAGACGACAGAGTGGAAGAACAAGTGCGGAGATCCGAAGAAGAATCGGCAGATGTTTGGCGACACATTCGTTCTGTTGAATCTGTGTGGGCGATGATGGAAATGGCCCGATATGAGGAATATGATGAAGTTCCCGAGCCCGAGGAACGCTACGATGTTTCGGAAGGTGGAGAATCTGGATCAGAGGTCTCAAACTCATCAGGAGCAGAGACTTCAGCTCCAACTTTGAGGAGGAGACGTCCAAATGCTGATAGTGAAGATGAGGAGTTGTGATATTCAGATGCGTGCGAAAAGCGTGAGCCGGTTTTCACTGATGGCTTAGATTGCAATGTACAGCATAAGCCACCAACCTGATGGCACTACGCCAACAGGCTTTTGCGTTTCATGCCCTTGAGCCATGATCGTGAGTTAGGCCAGCAGAGCCTTTCATGGTCAATGTGAAACTTCACTGAGTGAATTTTCACAGGTGGGGTGTTGACCATTTTTACTCAGTAGATAGCCTCTTTAGATAACAGGTTATCTGTACATGTGTTGAGTGCGAGTTGGATCACTGTGATGTGAATCTTGCATGTGATACAAGGGCTCAAGTAGCTTTGTGGAAAAAGGGCTGCGCTTAACAGATTCGCTGGAGTGTCCGTTTAATTACACCTGCAGGACCATGTGTCTTCAAAAACTGGCCAGAGTGGTTTCTGATTCGGCTGTACAAAATGGTCAGCTGCTCGGGATCGGAACGTGCGACATAACGCTTCAAGTTCCTAAGCACGGATAGGTGGGCGTATTCCTCCGGTTCTTGGAGGCCTGGAGCAAGCGCATTGCAAGTAAGCCAAGGGGAAGTCGTAGATGCTGCGCGAGGAAGCATCAGTTGTGTCACCTTGGCTCTGAGTTGCTCGAAATGTTTCCATCCCAAAGGAAGGAATTCAACTCCAAAAAGAGCGCGGGGCCATGCAAGCGATTGTACCAGCGTCCCAATTTGCTGGATCCCGGTGTCAAGCGCAGTCATCCTGTTAAGGATTGCGTGAACCTGATCAAGTCGCGCTGATTGAGACAGTAGACCATGTTGCTTTGCGTAGTGAAAAACAACGCCGAGCTCTGCAGCTTCGTTCAAAACAGGTACCAATTTATGACCGATGATATCGTTCAAAATGTCCGGCCATTTCTCTCTAAGGGCCCTGGATGTACCCCAAGCCCAGCTCTTGGGGTAAGAAATGTCGATACGGGCGGAGTTGCGCATGCAAAGCACGGTTTGGAGCGCAGCCCGGTTTGAGCTCATTGTGTCAGAGAACCACCCCCAATTATCGAAATAGGTCGTGGGCGTGGCCCCAACCGACTTGATAAAAAAGGATGCAAGATACGAAAAGCAATTCATAATCAAGACCGAGATGGGACAACCTTCCGCAGCCCCTGTGGTGGCACTGTGTGCAGTGGAGATGTCGGTGCCGACACAAAAAACTCTCTTCATGCGGAGCAAGCTGGCGTACCACGAGTCCGCAAGGGCTGGTGGGCAACCCAGTTTCTTCAACAGGTGCAGTGCAGGACGCCTGGGCAAACCGTTGAAAGCTTTGATGAGGTCCAGTGTGAATCCGGCAATTGGAGTGTTCGTTTCATGGGCAGCTTCAATGGCAAGTTGGATTCGCATGCACGCATCTGAGACTGACCAGCCTGGTAGGGCGCCATGCACCCCCGGGATTTTGACACGCGCCCATGCCTGCATGAGAAGTTGTCTGGCCAGGATACCCGCCCAAAGTCTCCATAAAACGGAATAAATGGTAATGGGACGTACCGCGGCGGCCGTCTGAACAATAGCTTCTTTAGCGAGTAACACGACCCTTGATACAAGGAGCCAGGATGGCCAACCTGTAGTGAAGGAGTTGAGAATCTGACTCAAGTGCTCCATTACGAGGTCAGGAAGAAGTTTTAGTTCGGCGGAACCCCATCCGCAGACTCCACGAGCTGAGTCATTCTTGAGCCGTCTGATTCCGTCTTTCCATACTGACAGACTGGTGATTTCAACGTGGTGTTGAACATCGATTGGTGGGGCACGGTCTGCAATGTCCAGGAAGTCCCTCCAGGGTGAGTCGGCTTCTTGCTCTTCAGCCTTGTCTCTCTGCCAAAATTGATTCCAATATTTCGCAACGTTGTCCTGGATTGCGGCCGGACTCACATGCTCTGTGCGCTGAGTCAATCTCGAGATGGGGTGCTCAATCTGCACATGTGAGAAGGCTGGCAAAACTTGAAAAGTGCCGTTGGGCAAAAATTCAATGACAACGCAGTGCTCTCCACAATAAGTGGTTTTCTGAGGATCGTAATGGCCTGGCGAGCTGAAGGAGTATGCTGGCGGGCCTTTGGCTTGCCGCCTGCGTGATGGTTGGACATCCAGGATGTGCTCCTCGGTCAAGCGCGTGATCATCGGTGTCTGTGGCCCCCGAACTTTCCGGATTTGGTTTCGGCGAAAGGCAACCGTCTCGTCCAGGGTGTTTGCATATTTTCTGAGCTGGTAGCGAGCCTGAACTTCCTGCAGCACGGTGGCGTCAGTGCCAAAGCGCACAATTTGCTCAATATGAAACAACTGCTCATAGGTGGGCACATGGAGGGGAACGGCGATCATGTCCGGCCAATTTAGCAACCAGTCCACGAAAGAAATGGCATATCCTTTGGCCTTGCAAATCGCCTGCCATTCCGCGTTCAAATCCGCCAAAGACTGCTCCCTCTGAGATTGGATTCTTTTCAGGAGAGATTGTATTCGTCGGAGTTGGCGTACCCGATGACGGGATCTCATAGTCATGGCCTCGCCCGGGGGCTGGTAGTCATTATGTCGGCCGGGTCGGATTGGATTTGCCGTTGGTTTCTGTCGGACTTCAACAGGCACACATCGGCCTTGGTAGCAGCCAGGCAAAGAGGATCTCGGTTGGCGCAAGGGATCATCTGAGTGGTGGTTTGCAATTGCTTTGTCAACGGATTTCTCAACACAGGAACTCCAATCTCGTAAATGCTGTTCTGCATTGTCCGCATTGGGCACAATGGTGCCGGGTGCAGTTGCTGCATAGGCATCCGCAAGTCGCGCCGGATCGACATGGAGGTCAGCAAAACTTCGTGGGAGTTTCCATTTGGGTTGTAGCAATTGTACCGCTGGAAATGCAAAATGAGCTCGAATGGGTCTGTGGATATTAAAATCATCGGTTTGAAGAACATCAACCTTTTGCAAGAAAGGCATCAAACGAGGGTCCACCAGGAAAGTATCGTTCCTTGTGCCTCCGTTCTTGCAATTGCGTGGAATGCATGTAGGTGGCAAAGGAGTTCCATGGATGTGGTGTGCGTGAGATTGTAGATCAACAAATCCTCGTTTTCGTAGCGCGCTCCAAGCCTCGAGCGTGTGGATTGCACGGTTAAAGTCTCCTGCAATGATTGTTGGGGTTGCGTTCATGTTCAGCCTTTGGCTGGCCATTTCAAGCAAATAATTGGCCACCGCGAGTGCCCTTGAGGTGTCTCCTGCATGAGGGGGGGCATAGATGGGGATAATCCGTATAGTGATTCCACCAATCTGCACATACGACTCCAGAATACGGGTGTGGCCTTCCAGGATTCAGGAAAGGGGTCTCTTGTCTCGCGAATCGGATACCTGCTAATACAAGCAACTCCACCGCTAACACCTCGCAGATTCAAATCGTGTTCAACCTGCTTCATGGTCGCAACAGGTGAACCCCATACAGTCCGGAAACCTCGAGATAGCGCCTCCTTACTGGCGGCCCGTTGTGCTGCTGGGGTTGCACTGGTTTCGGCAAGAATAACAACATCACCGCAATTCGTGATTTTGCGGATTTTTCCATGAACCGCCGTTGGGTTAATACATGCAAAAATGCAAGGCAAATTGTCTGGGGCCGGGGGGCCCGGGTGATTGGCTTCCCCAACTCGCATTCCAGTGTACGAAATCTGCCAATCGGGATTCCGGCAAAAAAAGGAGCAGGGCTGTATCTCAAATAAAAATGAATCAAAGTGACAAATCTGCGGAACAATAACTGATTGCGAGGCTGCGGACCTGTTTTCTCTTTCACGGTAACTCGTATACAGTGCCTTCGGCCGAACCCCTGGACCTTTGGCGCTGATTGCATGTGTGGCGTAGCGGTGGTGCTTCGCAGCATTTCTCGCAAAGACCACTTGAAAACGCCAGTGAAAATGATGGATTGGGCAGTAGTGGAATGGATGGGCCATTCCTTCGCCATTGAATTTCCGGCCGGGGTTTGAACAGGCCGGTGGAGATAAACCATTGCATGATGAGCTCGTCTGGCCGTTCTGATAGAGATCACAAGCGCTGAGGAAAGTGTATCCCCAATCGTCCCGGCTGCAAGCATACCCCTGGTTTGCACATGCAAACCTGCTCCATTGCAATAGATCTGCAAGATAAATTCCAGAAAATGAAATGTTGGATCCCTGAGCGAAACTGCGGTTGCAGGGCTCCAGGATCACCTCCCCGAATTGTCTCCTTGAACTCGATGGTGATTTATCTGCTGGACTAGCACCATCATGTTCTCGAAGTTTGCGCGCATGCACCGAAAAAGTTGGCATTGTCATTGTTGACTCTGGCCCTAGTCAAGACTCGATCTCCATTCTCTCCGTTTCTCCCGGGTGACAGTCCTTAGCCTTTTTCGCGGGACGGTGGTGCTGCTGAGCTCCAATGTTGGCCTGCAAAAGCATCTTGAGCTCATCAAATGATGATTGGCTCCTAACCATGACTGTCTCGAGGGAGAGGTTCAGCTCCTTTCGCATGTTGTCCTGACCAGTCTGTAGCCGGCTGAATTCAGTTTCACACCGGCCAGCAAACTGAGTGTGGGATTGCGACATTGCCGCAATTGATTTCTTCATGCTGACAATCTCATTTTCCTGTTCTTTTAACTTGGCTTCAAAAGGGCCTGCGCAAGGTGTGGGCTGGGGTCGCCGTGGCAGAGGCGGTCTTGTGTCAACCGAGTCCGATTTGCGCCATGGGTCGTTTGTCTGCAGGATATCTGTAGCGATTGCCGCGTCTTTGCTGACCGTCTGTGGTATCTGAGGGGCTCGCTCAGGCTCCTTGCGCGTGAAATGCAACTCATGCAGGATTACCGGCTCTCCATTTATCGCCAAAACGCCTGGAGGAGGGGGATGTTCAGCACCGATGATTGCTGTGCGCGGCCCGTTCCATTTTTGAATCTTGATTGCCCAGTTCAAGGATGTCGCCCATGACTGAAGTCCGGTGGTCTGGATTCCCTGGGGAATTTGCTCAAGTCTGTATCTGAACCGCACTGGTACGTGAGCAGGTGCCGATTTTCCCGGGTGTAGAGCTTCGTACCGCTTCACATATTCGTCAGCCAAAACTCGGATTCCCAGACCTGTCTTGCTCTTGACGAGTCCGAAAGCGTTC